AAAACAAAAAAAAAAAAAAAAAACCCTCTCCCCCACCTCCCCAGCTTTGTCCGAAGACACGAAAGCCCCAGAAGTGACGCTGAAGACCTTCAGAGATGGCAGCGCTACGTCGGCGCCTTCGCCAACCCTGTAGTTAAGTTCGTTATCAGAATTCCACGTTACGGTACGTAATTGGTGAATAAGTGCAGTTTTGTAATCTTACAACTGATCACGTGAACTGCGGCCAACTTTGCCTTAAAAAAAAAAAAGAAACAAAAACAACAAACCACCACCAACCACCAAACCAAAAACAAACCCAGAAGTCCCTACCTCGACACCTCTCCACGCCCTACTCCGGAGGCGACTTCCCTTGAGAAACACGGAGGTCGGGGGGCGGATCTGGCGGATGCGCCATCGCCAGCCGCGTTTCTGGGAGAAAGCCCCCCTGCTCCCTCCGCTCGCCCGGCCGGCGGGACGGCGTCCCCGCCTCGGCCAGCCACTCTTCTCCCCAACCGCCTCTGACCAAGCCTGCACGCCACCAGCTCTACAGGGCAGGGGCCAGGAATAAGGAATCACAGACAGTAAGGCAATCTTTACAACGTCAGAAAGTGTATTTGGCATTTAAAAAAGAAAAAAAAGAAAAGAAAGAAACAGGGGGGAAAAAAAAAAGAAACAAGTGCATACAAGTACAGCTAGAAGCATTTCTGGTTTGCCAAGTGCTCTCTAAAAAAAGCAGCGCAAGTCACAGCCTACATTGAACAGTAACTGTCACCAGGGAAGCACAACAGTCGCTTTAACAAAAGGGGAAAAAAAAAATAAAGAAAAAAACAAAACCAAAAGGGAAAAAAAAAAAAAACAAAAACAAAAAGGGAGAAGAATTAGAAGAAATGCCTTTATAATAAGTACATACCTTTCGTCTTCAAAAAATATAGAAACACAATGTATTCAAAAAAATCAAAATTATACAGCCATGTTTATGAAGTCTACATTTCCCTTGTCTTGGAGATATATATATATTTATATATATATATTTATAGATATATACAGAATTCGAGCAGTTCAAGGTGACGTCGGGCGGCGAGCGCGGGCAGGTCACGAGTCCCTCTCCTTTTTCACTTTCACGTCTCCGGCCAGGATGGTGGCGATCTCCCCCTGCATGAAGGCCCAGGGGACGTTGGAGCCGACCAGGGGACACTTCTCCCCGCTGGGACAATACACCTCCCCGCTGGCTCCCTGCTGCTTGATGCTCTGCCGGGAGCAGGGGAAGCAGAACTTGTGCGAGGGGACGGAGGGGCACTGCACGAAGTGGGTGTCTTCCAGGCGCTCGTGGCACAGGGTGCAACACAACGGGACGCTGGCGGCGAGGGACGAGTCCGGCAGGCTGGCGGGGTGGACG